ACACCGGAAACTTGAAACCCGATTTACGTCACCCACATTAAATCACCCAATTTCTCCCATCTAGGCTTCACTTGCCCCATCTTTAAAATGGGCGTAATGCATAAGTACTTCTGCCTGGGATGCTTGCCCTTGCAAATAGGGTGAGGACCCTCTTCTGCCAAGCTGCTCCTTGTCCCGTCTCAGGCCCTGTGTCACAAGGCAAAGGAGAGAAAGCAGACTGGCTGACTGAGAAGGTGGGGTTCAGGGCTCTCGCTGCTCTTGCGTTTATGAAGGAACCAGCAGGTGTCTGCTAGTTGGATCCATTTTAGTAAAGCAGAAAGAATTGTCAGTGCTGGAGATATGCTGCACCGGCTGCTCCCTTACCCTCTGCCAAAGACCCCTTACCCTCTCCCAAAGACCCTTGAACTCCACAGGCAGGCTGGATGAGGCTGTCCTCGATCCAGCCACGGGAGTCTCAGCTTGCCTGGACAGGCTCTTGCTGACTGTGTGCATTTCTAGACTCATGTCCACGCGGGCCTCGGCAGGGCTTCATGTTTTCAGAAAGCTCTTCTCCCTTGCCTCTCATTCGAGGCCCTCGGCAGGAATCCGCCTCCCTTCTGCACACACAGCTCGCTCAATGGGAACAAAGAAGTGGGAGAAAACTCTGGGGGAAAAAAGTAAGTAAGAACCCCACCCAGGCTAAGCCTCTGGAACTCCACCAGGGGCCACATGGCTTTGAAAGCTATCCGCAGTGCTTTCTGGTCAAATGAAAGCAAGCTTCTCACGGAGGGCTGCAGACAGCAAATGGGGCCAGAGTCATACACAGTTAGTTTCAAACTTATGTTGCTGCTCACGGGGAGAAATCAATGTACAGTATATTAAAAACAATCACTGCAGCCCTTAAATGATCCGATAGTTTAGCTTTGAATGCATTCGAGCTAATGGGGGCTTTAATGGCTTCTGACAGATCATTGCATTGATCAAGGGGCATGTATGAAATACACTGCCTACTAAACTCTGTTTTGATTTTGTCAAAAGAAAACTAAGCATCCATGGTAAACAGGGTTTGATTGTTCACATAGTCCCTGGGATGCCTCTCAGCCTGACCCTGGCTGCAAGGAGTAGAGGGGGAGAGAGGGAATCCTGTATACCTGCCCCAGCTCTAATCACGGTAATCAAATGCAACTCACTGTCAGAAGGGTTGCTGAGTGCGGAGATGGAAGGAGGGGACCAGGGGCCCTGTTTCCATGGTGGGTGAGTTACCAGCCGCAGGTTTTGCTGCTCTGAGAAACCGATTCATCGCTTGAGGGGCTTGGGGATTGCTTGGTCCCCATCCTTCATTTGAAAGGAAAACTTAGGTTATGAGTTGGGGACAGCCATTTTGCCAAGGAGCAGATGGAAGCGCAGTCACTTTCCCTGCAGTGTTTGAGGTTCTAGGATAATCTGATGAAGAATGGAACACAAGTGGGCCCAGCTTTGGTGTGTTGTCACAGGGTATATGGAGTCTGAAAAACAACAATAAAAAACTCAAGAGTAGCCCTTAGCGTACTCCTCATGGCTGCTCGGAGAGGTGGGCTTGCTGCTGGCGAAGCCTCCAGAGTGAGCCACTTGCCCCCTGCCTTGCGTGGTCAGAAGCGAGACATGTTCCGGGGGCACTAGCAACACTCTCTGTGTATCTGCATGGGCTTGGGTCTTTATGATGACATCTCCCTAGGGGGAAGAAATCATACAGAACACAGGACCAGTGGGCTTAAGCATGAGGATCCCTCTGTCTTACAGATGTCCTTGTGTTGAGAAGGGCCAGAAGGTCACTTCAATACTGGGATGGTGAAGAGTGGGATGGTTGCTGACCCCCCCCCCCCTTTACATCTTTGCAGAGCTACGAATGAACCTCAGGGTCCCCATATGCTAAGCAAGTGCTCTGCCACTTAGCTACCTGTCCAGCTCCATGGATGATCTTTATGTGACCATGCAAGACCATCACATGGTCATCAACCAAGAGGGCCAGATGACCCAAGTGCTTGGTTCAGAACCACTGTACGTTTGAGAAAGCAGCTCTCAAAGAGCAGACTTGCACTGGTCTAAGGCTACCACCTCCGCAGGTTCAAAACAAAGGGAAAGAAAACCCAGGCTGCAAGCCCCTCATTTGTAGCGGTGCTGGATTTGGTCAGTAGCTTTTGTAAAATTGATGAATTTTGTCTAAAGGCAAGTGCAGGCAGGCAAGCAGATCTGTATCTGCTGTGATCCATTTAGCCCGACACATATGTGCGGGGAAGCTGCTTCACCTCGATTCCTGCAGGACTGATGAAAAGTAAATGCGAGCAAAGCCATGCACTGCGTCATTGGAAAAGAATCACCGAGTCTAATGGTGGGAGTTAATTAATGCTTCCCTCCCCCGAAGCGGGCTGACCCTGGTCCTTAGGCATCCGAGTCAATAAACAATTGTTGTGCACAGGCCATCCATTAGAAGGTGAGGCAGGAATGTTTTTAAGCAAATCTGAAATTGCCAGGGGTGACCTAATCCTGCTGCAGTAATGGCAGTATGGAGGAATCATTTTTCGTACCATCTCATTTATAAGAAGTTCCAGGCCATCTGCTGAGAAAAAAGAAAGATGGAAGCTGTGAAGAGCGACTGGGATAAACATGTGCTGGTGGCATTCTCTTCTCCTTAAGCAAACTGTAGCTGGCTGCTGCGCTCGCTTTCTTGGTGACTACTGACTATTGGTTGGGGCGTTGTCGATTATAGTAACTGACAAGCGCTGAGTGATTACTGTGGTCCGATGGGACTCACTGACGGCGCCTGACTGCGGGGTGTGGGGCATGGCCAAGTGCTAGCCCACATCTCCATCTTCCTCTACTTGGTCAGTGGGGACTGGATTGCAGAGGAAAGCCATTTGCCTGAATCACAAAGCAAGGAGTTTGATGTCAGCTAATTGGGTTCACAATAGCCTGTGCTTCCTGAAGACCCGTGCGTGCTAGCCCTGCCTGCCGAATTTTACCTGCATGGGAACTTGCATGCCCTTCACAACCTGCTCAGGCAATAGTAACGTTACTACACCTTCCATTTGTAGACAAGAGGTGTGGAAAATGTATGTAGCCTTAGGGTCACACATCCACAACTAGTGCAGACCCAGAAAACCTGTACCCAGAAGCCTCTACTGCCACTCAGGACTCAGGTTTTGGGAAATCAGATGTCAACAGAATAGATGGGCATGTGCCTAAAGGAAAACTAGCTTCCAATGTTGGAATATTCAAGCTAGATAGCAGAAAGAACCTGTGTTGGCAAGGTTCTAAGGGGAAAGTGAACCATATGGCGAGAAGAGGAAGTCAGAGATTATGGACGTGTCTGCTTGGGATTATGGCCAGGCTGCAGCAAGGAGTCTTGGGAGGACATTCTGCCTGGTTGTCCCACACACAACAGACATGGGAATGGGCCCTTGGGTCCCTTTCCTGGAGTCACCAGCACGCTCTGGAGTCTATCCAGATCTCTCCGTGTCTCAGGGCAGCAAGAGTCCTTCCAAACACCGCCGCAGCCCCGGGTGCCCTTGTCCCCTTTCAGAAGTCATTATGGCAGGCCTGCCTTCTCTGTCCTCTCAGAGCTGCCTGCTCTCTGTGGCTTTCCCAGCAGTCTCGGTGGCAGTCATTACAGCCCGCCTGTGCCTTCCTCCCTCTCTATGGTTGTCAAATTGATTTCGCCACCTCGATACCTATGGCTCCCAATGAAACTTAATTAAAAATACCATTTAATCACAGAGTAACAAAGGCAAACTGGATAAACGGCATTACCACTTCAGCGCCTTTTAATCCGCGCCGCTTCGCTCCATCTGAACCTGTTTGGATGAGAATTGCCTTTTCAAATCAGAATCCCCTTGTCTTCCATGCACTCGCCTCTGACAGATCCCCAGAATAAACAGTATTTAGCGTGGCATGGATCCAAATGTATGCAATTTGCCCAGTGGTAAAATCAGCCTTAACTAGAGCAGGCAAAAAAAAAAAATAGTTGCACTGGAAAATACCTTCCCTGGAAACGTATACCAAGCCTGCGCCCCAGCATTAGGCAGGGCCCATGCAATCTCATTTATGGCACCCCTCCACTCACTTAGTGATGGATTTAGAAGCTTATTACTAAAATTGTGTCATGAGCCATGCCATGACCCCGCTCTTTTCTGTCTAGAAAATTCTGTCAGGCAGGAGACTGCTGGGGAGAACAGGAATAGGATGGGCCATTGTGGGTGCTGCTCAGCGTGGCCTCTGCACACCGGAGGTGGCTGCCTGCATCCTTCCCACCACATGGAATTCCTGGCTGCCAAGATGCTCCCTAGAATTGGGCCTGTAGGATCCAGGTACTAGTCGGAGCAATGATCAAAAGCATAAACTATCTCATCAAGTTGTCCCCACCTGTCCTGTGGAAAATCCTCCACATTTCCCAGGGAATACTGCTTCTGTCTCTGCTCTAGTGGGGATGGCAGGACTCCCCTGGCTTTCTCTGCCTGGGCTACAAAAGCCCTTTTCCTTCCTTGAAGCGCCTTGCAAGGGCTCCCAACCTTGTAGATTTTGTGACTGCTATCCTTTCTTCTGGAAAGGTCTTCCATACTGCCCCTGGATAATTTACCCTTCTCTTCCGTTACTGGTCACTAGTTCCCCTCCACGCCCCACCTAGGTGTTTCCCTTCCAAGCACAAGGGATGATCTTGCCACAGCATTGGTTTCGTGTCTGTCTCCCCATGACAGTGTAAATTCCTTGGAGCACCTGGGAGACAGATTGGTGGTAGGATCAGACCTACGGCTCTCCACACCGCTAGGGTCTGAATAGAGGAAGGCCAAAGTCCCTGAGGGTAGTACATCTTTTAGACCACTTTCCTCAAGTGGGCTGTAACCTGTCAGCCAGGAACGACTGGTAGGAAAGCAGGGAGGAGCTACTGGAGGGTGTGAGAACTACCTCCATCAACCCAGCAAAGCCCCCAGCCCCGCCCCGCCCCACCTGCCCACTGGCATGCCAGGAGACAAGCACCACAGACGCTCTTTGGTTTCTCATCTTTGAGTTCTTTATTGTGTATGAACGGGTGCACACAGCACAGCGGTACAAGCGGAGCATGAACACAGTTCAACGGGAGGAACACATACTGAGCACTGGACACTACTGCTTTCTACTAAAGGGTGTGAGCAAGCAGGTTCAGAAGGCGCTGCTGGGGGAGCATGTTTACAAAATGACGACAAGGAGTAGCAGGGTCGTAGCAGAGCATAGGGATCACAGCCACTGCCAAGCCACTGTGAGACAGAGACCCAGGAGCTCACAGGTGTTCTGACTTCTAAAGAGAATGCAGACGTTTTTATTTTATGTGGACTCTCCCAATTTTTTAATTTTGGCACCTAATGGAATACAGCACAGAAGAAACATCATGGGGCCTAATAAGCAAGAGCCTGACAGCTGGTGGTGGTGGGCCAGCCTGTGACATCAGAAGCCTACCCCTTACTTAGGTCATTTCATTTCATCTGTGGCAGTTCCCTCTGAGAATGGACCTTACCCCTCTATTAACGAGGAAGCTGCAGTCCAGTGACAAAAGGGGCCAAACCAAAGCCTAAGAGACTCGGATCCCTGCACCAGGAAATTCAACCTGCTTTGTGAAATGCAGCTCCTGTGGCTAATTCTGGGCCGGAAGGCACCTCAGACAGAATCCTGACTGCAGCAAAAACACTGTTGTTTGTGTACCCCTCCACACACAGAAGGTCCCAACCAATACAAGAAAGTCATAGACTGAGGGAAGAGGCTAGCTGCTGTCAACATGTCTGGAGCCATGCCTCAGGCCAGCAGAAAGAGGCGTGGGCCAGGAGACACACGCAGCCAAGGACCCCAGCGGGGGAGGAAGACCACTACGGCCAGCTCACATAACAGCACTAACACGCATCGCATGTGGAGCTAGGTATGCGAGAAATTGCTTCAGGTCTGCAGCTGGGTGATGCCACTTAACCTGCACCCTGAGCAGCTGACACTTTTAACACCTCCCACCACACAGATGAGAAAACTGAGATACAAGGACATGCAAAGGTCACAGAGTGAGTGGGAAAAATGTAACCCTGGCACTTGGAAATTAGAATTCAGGCTTAACAGCTCCACATAGCCTGTGACGCTCTGGCATCACTGGGGTGGGGAGTTGGATCCTTCAAGTTCCCATGCCACCTGTCAGTACCCACAAATGGGGGAATTCTAAAAGAAACACTAACTCCATGAAATAGTGCCTATAGGGCTGGCCTCTGCCATTGGATCAGGGAAGCCCCGTAGAGCCAGGATGTGGCTACTTCCTTTGTTGTCCCTTCCTCTTCCTGTACAGGGCTCACAGTCAGACCCTCACTGAGTTTTGTCTCTGAGGAGGGAAGAGGTTACTGTTCAACAATTGCTTTTCCTTTCTTTCCTCCATGGTTATGGCAGCAGTAGCCACTACAGGAAACCATAAGAGGGGATGCCTGCTCATAAACTTGAAACACGGAAACATCCATATGTTGTCTAAAACCACAGTGACCGCCACCCTCCTGCCAGGCACTTGACATGTGGCCAGGACAACTGAAGAAGGGATTTTTAACGATAATCGAGCTGAATCTCGGTCTGCACAGCCACGGTGAGCTAGTAACTGCCATCTTGGATGGCCCAACTGCCAGAGCCAAGGTGAGAAGCTGGGATAGGTCTCTCCAGTTCTGTGGTCCCATGCCTGGGTCTCCTCCCATGAGATGGCTCGCCCAAGAGGAAAGGAGAGGCTTGTCACAGGCTTGGCTCATCCCCGTTGCCGCCTTGGGAACAAAAGGGCTCCCAAAGGGGCAAACAAGATTGAGGAATACTTTTTGGGGGTGCGTGTGTTCTAGCTTAACACCAAATCAGACTAAAACACCATTATTGATTACTGAACATTTTAGTGTTTGTGAGTTTTATTTTCTAGCTGTCTTGAATTGGAACCCAGGTCCTATCGCCTATGTATACTACCCTTGTCCAAGGTTTGGGGAGGAAAACCAACGATGTCTTCTCCTTCTCCATGAGGACTTGCGCTCCCTCTAGGGCCTTGCTTCCAGAAGCTGGCCTCTGAGCTCTGAAATCACTTCTGTGAGGTCGAAGGGCAGAGGCATGGAAGGGTCCTCCTTCTCCCAGTAGGGCCGGCAGTCTGGCTTCTGACGAGCTGGGAGAGACCGGACGATTCTGGACTGGCACCTAGGAGAGGAAGAGCAGCAGTTAACCCGCTGGGAAAGCACCGGAAGTTCCAGGCTGCTGGGAAATGCTTCAAGAACAGCTGTGACGGGGAAGGAGAAGCGGGAGGAGATGCTCGTGAGGCAGAAAGAACACGTTTCTGAGGAAAACCTGTCCCTCTGAATGGTGGAGCTTCACGTTTTTCCAATTCCCCATCTGTATTATCTCCAGTGGCTTCAGAAAAGCCAATCATCAGGGAAATTGAGTTACTCTGCCTTTAAAATGGTGAATTATTTTTTCATTATCTCAACAGTTATTTAAAGTGTGTGATTAAGCCATTATCAGATTTAAATGTTTGTGGGATTTCAATGTATTACTAGATTACTGGGAAAGATTAAATTGAATTTACTGCATTAAAACGTCCAAGAATAGATTAAACAATATTACAGACCAGGATTGACTTTGGAGATCCTGGAGATTTACAAGTGTCCCAGCTTGCTGGGCTCAGAAAAAAAGGCACTCCAAGGAGAGAGAGGTTTATAAGGATATATGCAAATAGAGGTTAATAATCATTTCCGCTGATGAATAGGTGGGGAAACTTCCACCAAATTAAATTAAGAGGCTAGCAAGAGTTAGTCCCCAAGGAAAACACTTAAATCACCGTTTTTATTAAATGGATTATTCATCAATAGTAGAGAAATTAATTATCATATGAAGCTAAATTATAGCCTGGTAGGAAAAAGTTGGGGTAACATCCTCACATCTCTGAGGCACCACCCTCTTGGAGAGTTGCGCTCGTCTAAAATTGGGCTTGGGAAATGCTTTGGTTTCAGTTCTAGTTATTTGAAAAATGAGGAAAACAAGAAGAGATGGGGGTAATAAGTGATGAACGATTTCTTATAGAAGAGCACAAACACCAAACCTGTGTTTGCAACAGCTGTGTGGGTGCACCTACCTCGGCCCTCCCCCTTGTTGTCAGTTAAAGAGTGGCCACACCCACTTCAAGTCGTAGGACTCAGTAAGATGTTCACAGAAAGACATTTCTTCTCTGGGGGATTATTAATGGTGAGGGGATTCCCAGGGGAAAGCATACTTCAACTTTACACCTATTTTCGCATGTGGTTAATTGCTATACCGGCATCCTATGCACTCAACCCGCCATACATTACACGTAACATTCCAATATATCTTCTGCTCTCTGCATCAGACCCTGATAATGGCGTCTGTTAACACGCACTAAGTACTATTATGTAGCACATCACTTCATAAATAATAAGATTAGTTGACCTCGGGGCCCCAAGAAGAGTAATGTGTTTAAATGTTCTCATTATTTATTTAAAACAAGAATTAAAGCAACAGAAGCAGCCCCTGACAATCCTCTTAGCATAAATATTCAACTGTTTGTGCTGATAAGCACACGCGGCGTGGAGGGGCAGAGGGCACGCTCTGCAGCCTGCTTCATAATAGGTGCTGGAGCCCACGCGGCTTGCTGTCGCCCTTCTCAGGGTGCGTCTCCGCAACTCCCGTGACAGTCTCTAAATCACTTGAAAGAGACGAGGGGGAAATTAATATTCAAGGGAAGCTGCGACTAATTACAAAGGGACCCAGCAAAGCTTTTTAAATTGTGCTTTCTCTCGACCTCAGAATCGCAGAGTAATGCTCAATTTACTGGGTAGGGAAAGTTATTCCAAATTGAGCATTTCAATCTCACAGTGGATAAATTATCCGTGCACATATTATCCTGCTTGGCAGATTAAAGGGCTGTGATAAGTGTTGATCCACCTAGAATATCATAAGGTTTGTAAAAAGTCAATAGAGATGCTTTCTCAGCTGTCAAATGGTTTTGCCTCCTCACTCTGAGAAAGTATTAAAAATATTCAGACCCATGGCAGAGCTGTGTGCATGCTGGCCTGCCTCTGGGCAAGCTACTTTCCAGTTTGCTGCCACTGTTCTCACCAAGGATGGCTGTTGAGGATCTACCTGGTTTCATAAAGACCGTGGCAGGCTTGAGGACACACACACACACACACACACACACACACACACACACACACACACACACACACCTCTACTTACTCCATATGGGTTGGGACAAGAACCTTTGTTGAGTTTCTCAGGGGCCCAATTCAGCTGTGTTAAGAATGCTGTGAAATTCTTCTCTTGATGGCCAGTATTCCTTGCTAATTTCCAAATGCCAGTGAGAGAGCTGAGTGGGTTTCCACGTGTGAGAAGAGACTCCCACCCCCTCCAGCTACATCAGACTGTGGAAGGGGAGGAAAGGGGGCTTGTGCCCTTTCAGCTGTTATGTTTTACATCTTGCTCAAACCACCCATCTGCTGGAGTCTCAGTGTCCTTAGGTGGGGCAGTAGGGGGCTGGCAGTATCAAGGGTCACACTGTGTTCTCTGGAGGCGCTGCTCCTGAGGGACACATCATTTGGGCACTTCTTTATCCTCTGGAGCTGTGAGTTCTTAGCTATATAATGGTGGTGATGGGAATAATAACGAATATAATGATGATGATGATGATGACAATGGTCCATTAGTTCCTGCTACCTATACATTTTTTCAGTTACCCACAGTAAACCAATAGAACATTCTAGAAATAATTTACAAGTTTTAAGTTGAGCACAATCCTGAGCAGTGTGATTGGATCCTGTGTTCCACCCAGGATGTGAGTCACCCGTGTCTCTCACAACCCTGTAAGTACACTGTACAAGTTACTTGGTATATATGTCGCCATGATCCGGAGTCACAGAGAGTGGGCGATCCTTCTGACACGATGGCAGGTCAGCAGTGGCCCGAGGCTACATGGAAGCACCTACATTACTATCACCCATCTCAGCTCACCTCCTCATTGTCGGCACCTCCCAGCACTACCCTCAGGGAGTGGAGCATACGGCATTTTGAGAAAGACAACTAAAATCATCTAATTCTATTGCAGCATGCTGTCAAAATGGTTCTGTTTTATTAGTTACTGGTGCTCATCTTTTTTCTGTGCCTATCTTTAAATTAAACTTTATCCTAGGCATGTATGCCCAGGAAAAATTATTACTATTATTATTAGCCATTATTTCAAGCATGCCTGAGGAATCTGGGGAAATATTCCCTACAAGCAAGCGTGTGTGTGTGTGTGTGTGTGTGTGTGTGTGTGTGTGTGTGTGTGTGTGTGTACACGTGTGTTGCAGTAATAACATTCTGACTTATGGGTTTGCTGTGATTAAATGAATGAACAGAGATAGTATCTGGAATACTGCCCAGCACACAGCTCAGTAAATATCACCACTATCATTACTTCCATCATGAGTGCCAGTGACAGATGAGAGATGCCACCAGAGTATTGACTGTTATGCAGTGGCTCTCTGCTCCTTCCAAAGTCCCTCTGTGGGGATCCCTGGATGGGTTCTCTAGGGGAAGTTCATCAGTCCTGGTATAGTTCTTTCTGCATTGAATCTAACGGCCTGTGGCTGAATCTTGTCACAAGCCTTCCCAGTGGCAGGCTATAGTACCCAGACTCAGCAGAACCAGCAGCTACCAACCCACACTAAGGAAGGGGTGGTGGCTGCTTCATGTGGCAACCATGCTGGGCTGTTTCTTAGCATGTGGACCCTGTATCGTGCAGTCCCTTGCACAAAGGAAGGCCCTGAGTGTCTTCAGATGTGTTTTAGAAACGCTGAGTGTAGTGGTGCAGTCAGTACCACCTACTCCTGGCCATAGGAGTGGCTAGAGAGGCACACGACACAGCCCAGAGAAACCAGAATCAACCTGAGTTCTGATGCAGGATTGAGGGAAAACACCTTCTTCTCTCCTGACCCGTGCAGCCCTGACCTCCCATGGTCATTTTGCTTTTCTGCGACCAGAGGCAGGACTCTAAGCCATACTGTCAGGTGGTAAAGGCTCACCTGAGCTAGGTCTCTGCAGACTTCATTGTCTCAAGCTTTGTTGGCTGGGGCATGTTTCTCTTGTTACTTGCAACTCAAAGCATCCTGACGATGACAGTCATTGTTCCCAGCACGGCTACTTCCCACAGTTTACAAGATTCACTGTCAGCATCCCACCATGTGACCATGTTACTGGTGATACTGTGCACACAAACTGTCCGTGCTTGAAATTAAGAACTTGAGGGCTTTTGCTAGGAAATAAGCCAGTTTCCACAGCCAGAACTGGATGATCTTTGCTGAAAATCTAAAAAATCCTACCCAGCTTAGCGTTCTTCCCAGCTCTTACCTTCCCTAGCTACCCAGTATGAAGGTCACAGCCTCCACCCTCATTTCCTAAGGGAAAAACTCCATTTTTAGATGCTTCTGGAGTTAGAAAGCAAACCTGGATCAACTTAGAAAACCCTGCCCCTCTCTTGAAACACTTAAAGGGGAGCCAAACAAAACAGAAGAGAACAAAACAGAAAACTACAAGCCCTTCATCCCTCTCTTTCCCATTTACCTGGCTTCCATTCAAAGGACTCAATGGGCCATGCTCAAAGCTCTTTGCTGCTTAGGAATGGTTCTCTCTGAATGACCTAGCGAGAGTGCAGGAAGCTGGCTGGCCCAGAGGTCCTGCAGCCTCCACCCCGAGGTGTAACTCACTGATTTCCCCCAGGGCTTCCCTTACATCTGGGTGATCAAGATGGCAGCTACATTAGTGAACATTGGCCACCATGCTAAAATTAACCACTTTAGCTAAAGTGTGTGTTAATTATGGGTATGCAAGCAGTCAATAAAGGTTAATGCAAAAGTCAAAGGATAAATTTCTTCCCTTATCGCGTCACTTCACAGACTAAATGACTAACATTATACTTTGTGTTTTTAATCAATAGGTTTTACAGTAATGTGCTGGCCATTGATTTTAAGAAAACACATATGGTTCTTCCTCGTCCCTAAATTTTGCAACAAATAAAGAAGGACAGGTAACATTTCCGACACTCTCCAGACAATGATAAAGTTTCAGGACAAATGATTTCTGCTAATAGAGTCATGAGGATGGACAAGCTAAGCACACACACAAGAACTTCATGGAGAAAAGTCATCAGG